CGAAATTCTCGTTCTATACGAATCATTGTATTCGCTGGAGTAACACGGTTATTCATCTTTTTAACAAATCGAACTATTTTGAAATAAACCAATGTAATTAAGCTCAAAGGAATAAAATAATTATAAGATGCATTGAAAATAGTTATGAAAGAAAGATTAAGAGGCATTTGACATATCTGATCATCAACATGATAAGTAATTTGATTGGTAAATACTAATGGAATCGGATAGATAATATCACAAATCCATGTTAAACAAATAAGATAAATTTGAAATCTTGCTGATTGCCAATATAAACGAAATGGATAAACAACAGTGATATAGCAATAGATAGATTGTAATAAATATGAATTCATTTGTATTCCTTGTATCATATAAGTGATGTAACCTTGAAAAATACAAAATGAATTATAGAATTGAATTTGTTTGAGATCATTTTGAAGTGTAAATAAACTCGTACCAAACATATTAAGTGCAAATACAGATTGAACTAAACATGAATTTGCAATGAGCATCATTGGAACTGTATGACATGTTTTATCAATAATAATAATAAATAAAAAGATCAGACTAAGTATAATAGCAGTGCCAGCAAAAATAATCTTGAGAATATCAATAGGAATAAACCATGATTCAGTAATTGTCATGTTTAAATTATTGTCAAGAATCATTGATGCTCTGATAAAGAGAAAAACATATTTGCAGTACATTGTGACATTAAATCTTTGAAAGTATTAATGCGCAGTAATAGTAATATCTAAGCGCTATGATCAAAGCCGTAAAAAGGCATCCTTTTATTTACTGTGAACAAATTTAAGTCGAAATCAATCATATTAGTGTATCTACAGTTAAATGTTTTTGAAAATATAGGTGGAAGAGTGTTACTAGTTAGAGGTGTTACTTTATCTTTACTTTATAAAGTAAAGATAAAGTGAATCTTTATCTTTATTCTCAAAAATAAAGATAAAGAAATAAAGTTAATCTTTAATTTCATAAAGTAACGATAAAGATTTTCGTTACTTTATTCTTTATTATAAAGTAAAATAAAAATAAAATAACACCCCTAAGTTACTACATTAAGATTAAAATTTTCAAATCTTTATATTATTCTCTGCAACTCATAACTTGATAATAATGTTTTGAAATCTGAAGATTTCATTGCTAACGAAGGGCTCTACTACATATATTTTGGTGTAATACCATTGAACGAGTAAAACTTATTCAAAAAGTACTCGATGAATTCTATTATTTTATCTATTGAATAGGTCATGCGTACTATATTAATGAGCAACAACTATTTTAAAAGCATTCATATAATTATTTTCTCTTCTTTCATTTCTGCACTGCAGATAAAAGAGCATAGAAAAAGATATCATATATTTATGCTTTTTCAGAAAACTTTGTTTAATTGTGAACTGGTGAATTTTTTTACTGAATAAACTCAATGTTATATCACGAAAAGATAACAATAACTGCTTACTTAAAAAAACTAAACAAAACTAATTAAAAGAATATTTTACTTTTTCTTCTACTCACTAATTAACATTCGCTATAAATCTAGATTCCTTATAATTCTAAGATATTTTATTCGAATAATATAAAATATAGTTTAATTAAAATTTTTTTTTTATCAGTTCAACATATTTTATAAGAATACAATTAAAAGACATTTGGTCGCATTCTTCTTAATGCTGAGTTCTTATTAGTTCGCATATTGTTGCTTTTTTTTCTTTTTATCTCTGTTTTATTAAATTATTAAGTCTGTTGAATAAATTTGACATCGAATTCTAGGTGATGTCAAGTATAATCCGGAAAAGAAAAATCCGGAATAGAAAATCCGGAAAAATAAAAACAGGAAAAGAAAAATCCGGAAAAATTTTTCTCAAAGTTTATTAATGATAGAAGATCTAACAAGTAAAAGGTGTAGAAATATTAGAGACTGTCCGAAGAACTTATTTCTTTGAAGTCACCAGATGTGAGAATCCTTCGAGAAGCTCGATACGATCGATGTCGTTGTTGTAGCTGTGGGTGTTCAGGGTGTTGATGAGGGTGTAGGTATGGATCAAGATAGTCTCTGGAATTGGAATACCTTGCTATACAGACAATGATCTGTGCAATGGTGCCAGGTGATCTCTTAGTTATTCATTCACACTTGCCAGTCTTATTGCCATATTGTTGGTTGTACTTAAAATCACATATATTTAGGCATACTCTTATGAATTTATTATATTAGCACTAAACTAACTTTCGAATAATGTATATATTTCATTTTATCTTATATAATTATTTTTCTTTCTTGAGCAAAATTCGTGACTGACTTTAACGTAGGATTCGTTTACTTTGTATTTTTTCTATTCGAAATAAACAACATTTCAATTACAAACAATCTTATCTATGATTATCATGTTTGCATATAATCGTGTCTAATTTTTATATAAATATTAACAGTCTCATTTTCTGTTTAATAAAAAGTTAATCAATATTAATAGGTTATGAAAGATTATTCTAATGATATATTTCAGTATGTATCTATGTTCGAGTCATTTTAATTAGAAAAGAGAATTTTGTTTTATGGGTAAGATAATCTTAAACTAGAAAAAAATGAAATAGGTATTGAAGTGGCAGAGATATTGCATTCATCAATAACTCTACCGTTATTCATCTACACTAATGCTATCAAGAATTATTTTCAATATGCATTAAACTTATTCCGTAATTAATTAATTTCATATGATGATTTTAATGAAAATTTATAGTTTATTTTATTTTCTGAGTGCTTTCAGGTAGCGGAGACGCAGAGGTGCAGAATCTTCCCAAAAACCAAAAATTTCCCGGAAAAATGCAGTTTTTAAAAAATTCCCCCTCCCCTCCAAGTGGGGACGCACGAAGAAGATTCTGCACCTCTGTATAGAAGAGGGGGGGGGGCGGGAGCGGTTACTGTTTTTTTACATGTATTTTTTCTTAATGATAGAAAATGTCAATCCAACTAACTCTTGTATATTTTTATACATAAGTGAGGTATTATTTTAGAAAATATTTTGAAGATGCATATACCATTGTACGTTTATTCTACGAAAAAGAATATGATCTCTCACCAAAAATACCCTTTTGAAAAATCCTTAGGGTGCCGCCCAACCACCCGTCAAATCCTGATTACGCCACTATATTATATACCATTTATTTATCAACATCTAATTCACTTTTAATAATTCAAATATCTAACAATAAAAAAAGCGATTTTCTCAAGTGACCTTATATTATTAGTATAGTTATATATTAATAGATATCTGAATAAATATATATATTGAAGTATGAAAAACTTTTTGAAATCTCATAACAATTAGATTCAATCAACTTATAATTTTTACTCATATTTATTTTCAAGGTTTAATCTTCTTAAACTTTACTTTATGACATATAATAATCAAACAAAACATAATTGAATATATGTATATATATCTTCGCAAAAAATTGCTCATTATTAGTGACACTTTTCATCTACCTAAAAAATATCAATAATAATAAAATACAACAAAACACTTCGATTAAGAATGAGTCAGGGATGTTGTAGCGCATAACAAGTATATCTACTTGGACTGCTAGCTATCTTCAAAATCATTGCAATTAAACAACACGAGACGAAGAATGGAGCATGTAGTGAATAATATTTTATATTGTTTTATTAAAATGTGTTGCTCTGGCAGACTAGTGTTACCACCAGTCCGCATAATTTCGTCATCGCAACATGTATTTGATCAGTAAAGATCATTTACCTCTTGGTAAGTTGTAATAAGCAATTTTCCTCGATGGTGTGTGGAGCACGACATCTACTGTGTCTTTACACATTTCACTTGGAGTCTTATCCAATACTACGTCACCAACTCTGAAGTCTTGAGAAGACAAAAAAAAGTAAAATAGTGATCAGTCATTGATATTTATAGCCATAAAAATATTTTGTTTCTATATTGTGTTTTTTTTTCATTGAATGCATTAAGGGATCACAACATTATTATCGAATTACATCATTACAAAATATGTTTCTATATTTATCACAAGACATAATTGTAATAGTCAAATGGTGCATTAACGAACATTATTCGATACTTCTCGATCAACATTGAACATACCAGATATTTATTCCTCTGAGTCTCATGCATGCAAAGATTTAAAAAATAATTCACTTCTTATTTTCTATTTTCTAATTGTTTAAGAGCAATACTATTTCATTGGTTTATTTAAAAATATGTAATATGATATTTTTATTCAAATAATCAACAGCATCTTATAGATAGATTTATTTCATCGTATGTATTTACAGTCCAAAATACTATGACAGAATTTATTAAATTATTACAAAATATCTCTGTATGAAAATCAGTCTTTTATATACTAAAAAAGTCTTTGATAAATATACATTTTGAATTTCGCTCATCTTAAGAATATCATTATCAAGTCATATCATAATAGCACCTCTTTCTTTATTAAAATCAAAAAAAAAA